CCATGGGAAATGTAGTTTGTACTTATAAATTTGGTTCAAGATAAATTCCTGGCCATCCAATGATGCATCTATAAACTTAGATGACTATGACATTTTTTTTTATTTTTTATTATACAAATAAGGATATTTAGAGAGTAAGGTTTTTAAGTGATATAACATTAAAGGTCACGACATTTTGAAAATGGGAGTCTTTAGAGTTCTATGTGGAAAATCAAAATATTGCACTACACAGCATTTAAGACAACACATGGCACAGTACCACATCCAAATTAAATCTGGAGTAACACCCTTGTCCACAAAGTGAGGATTATGATTATAAAAAAAGAACCATATGATCCCAAAAGCTATTTGGATGAAAGTGGATATATCTGTTGGTATCAATAACAGGATAATAAATAAGGATTTGAATTTGGTAAAGGCCAACAAAGGCCATATCTCTAAATCTGGTTAAATGTTGTATTGTAATCTGACATCCACATATAGTGGAAGATCTGTGAAAGTTTGTCAGGCTGCTTAGTCTAAGATTGACGTTTTCGTCATTTGTAGGAACATATTACAACAGAAACTGTGTTGTACTTCACTAGTTTGTAATAATGTCCATAAGAATGAGCAAAATCAACAATGAAAACAGCAGTGCTAAGGGTAGCATTAGATCTGGAACACTGTTCTTATAAAGTGTGATTAACCCTCAGTACAAGGAAGATGACATATCACTTTCCTTTTTTTTTCGTACTTATTTAATTACAACAAAAAACATTCAAATAAGTTTACCACAATTTGAATTTTCTTTGTCAAATCCTGATTTGTATGCCCAGTAATTCATATTCTTCAGCAGTATTAGCTAGAACTATTATTAACTTAAAACAAAAAATTATTAGCATTTCTCCATTACAAGCCTACTGTTATAACTTCTACTTTAGCAAGGTTCCAGCTACTTTTCTTCTTAATTATTTTTACTAGTAATATAAATTCTCATCCATCATATCTACTCAGTTATATGAAATGGTATCAATGATTGTCTCAGGTTTTCATTCCATTTAACAAAGAAAATTTGTCCAAACTTGAATTTAAATAATCACATCACTTAGATATCAAACACACTAAGAATATGTTGATAGTTTCTATCTTATCTGAAATTACTTATTTCTACAAATTGAAACAGTATTATGATACCTCAATGTCAAACTACAAGTTCCTTTGATTGATGTTAAATATTAGTCTGACTAAAAGCAACATTTTTACCATAAGGTACGTATATCTTCTAATGAAAAGAATGTTATGCTTTAAGACAAATCAAGTAGTGTATATTTGTTGTCCTGATTCAGAAGTTTGCCTTTCATAAATAACTTAGAACCTTCTAAAAGTCAAATATTTAGTTTCTAGTAAAAATGAGTACCTCATGTTACAGTGTGATGTACATGATTACTACAGTAATATGTCATCTTTTTTTACATATATCTTTGGAAGTTGGCAAATTTTAAACTCATGCAGACATTAATAATTCTTCACCTGTCTGCCAAAAGAAACACATACTTCATTTTTTGTTAAAAAAAGTAAGAAATATATAGCTAAAAAAATGTATTTACTATCAATTTGAATGAGTTTTATGTTTGTGTAATTTCATAATTAGTTCATATTTTATTGAAAATTCAATAAAACATTTTAAAATACATGTTCAGCTTTTACTGTAAGTACTGTGTTTTACTGATTTGTTCAAAAAAGTTAGTAAGAAAGAGTTTTGTTAATACTATTAACCAAACCTTGTAGTAACTATCAAAAGAGCACACTGCATCCATTTTCTGTATTCAATCACATATATTTAAAGTTCCATAAATAATGAAAGTGTGCTGTTCATCTAAAAATTATGTATAATTTAGACAATAAACCTAACCTTTAGTGCTATAGTCATAAGAAGTAAAACTTCTACGACTGTAAGTTTTATACTGACGGTTGAGTTTAATCTATTAGTCCAAAGTTTGCAGAAAATACAGTGTAAAAACATTGTGAGAGGAGTGAATTAATGACTAAGTTTAAAAAAAAAAAACTCAGCTAGTTAAAAGTAGCTTTCAATAAATGCAAGGAAAAATAATAAAAATTTAAACAGTTATACTTTACTTACATAACTTCATTGTATCTCAAAGGTGTTAGTAATGAATTGAAAATGCTTTTTTTTTCTCATAAGCTGGAGACTTTTCAAAATAGTGCTTATGTTGATTTTTACTATATTAATCAATATACGTGTTTTAAAAAAAGATAAAAATTACCTGTCTCAATAGCTTTTGAATTGCTGACATTACCATCAACCCACGCCACACGATGGCAGACTTTTCTTCCACAAGAAAACCCATGGACATACTAACCTCAGTAACGTAAAGCAAATATATATATATATATATATATATAAATAAAATATTCGATAGTAAGTATGGTTCAAACAAATAGTCATATAAAGACAGAATTAGGATAATACTATTTAACATTAGTATATAAAAGTTTAAAGTTAATTTCAGTACATGATATTAAGGCTCAAATCAATAAATAGCCTGTTCTTATTATGCTTCAAGTAAAACTCGGAATATATTGATAATTTTACTGTTTTTATTCTGCATCAATGTTCATAAAAAAGCTTATAATTTTAACAAAATGGTTTATTACATTAAGTTATGATTTTGGATGTCAAATTAAATTATTTTCTTAAAATCATACTAACTAAGTTAAAGAATAAAAAGAATAACATTGAAATCTTCTAATATAAATACTTAAGTCAATAAGTGAAATTACTTCACAGATTTTATGGAAAAAAAGTAAATTGTCATTCTATTTATGAAATACATTTTCAGAAGTGATGAGAAATGTAAAAATTGTTCCTGCAATACTACCACCATATTAGTATTGCAATTTTCATATTTATCAGAATAATTTAGAACTTAAGCAAAAAAAAAAAAAAAAGGAGGATTCAGTGACCCAATCAACTATATTGTTTTCCATATTTAAATCTGCAATTTCTAAAGTTTTTATTAAAAACAATTTAACAGATCAGTGCATTTAGAAGTTTATTTTGCATAGACTTATGCTTTATTATAAACAATTGGAACTGATAAAAATACATGATATTCAAAGACCTAACATTAACAACAGGCCTATCATCAGCTGATTCTGGAATAAGACAGCTAATTTGGAAGATGTTATGTGTGATGACAAAGATGATAATAAAAAACCTGTTGTTCATTGTACTTCTAAACAATAAGCTGGCTTGAATATCACAGCAGACTGTGAATCTAGAAGTCCATGGTTCACAAAATTGCACTTTGCATGTTAAGGCTGTGTGCTACAACAGTGATAATCAAATACCACTAGTTGATTATAGTAGCCTAAAAGTTGGTGGTGGGTTCTGTTGAATAGCTCCCAGTTCAAGCTAGGGATGACAAGCACAGATAATCCTTGTGTAGTTTTGTCCAATTATCTCAAATAAAATTCAAAACAAATGAAGCTTATTTATGCTTCTATAGACAAGTTAAGGAATGCAGTGCGGAAACCCTGATTAATTATGGATGTAATGGTAGTAAACATTTGTTTGAAATCAATGCATCACAATTTATATTTATCATATAACATGTAAGAACTCTAAAGTAAAACAAAAACACTTCTATATAGTTTAAGCTAGAGGTCTGCACAAGTCAACATTTTTTTACCTGGCCTGGCAATTATCTGGCCCAAGCCCAATGGGTATTAACAATATTTTGCCCAAGCCTGCCTGATATCTGATTTTCTTCACACTAAACTCGACTTAGGGCTGAATTAAACAAAGTATTGCTCAAAAGGTCGGCTGACTAAGGGAAGATTCAGATAGCTTGTTTTTTTATGTTCCAATCTTCCAAGATTGAGAAGAAAAAGGCAATAATATAAATAGTACTAATAACAAAATGTGTAAGTAAAAACATTATTGTTACAAAAGAGTCTTGAGACAGTAATTATAGGATTACAAAATTCCTTAAAGCAGTACCTTTGATACCAAGCATCAAAATTAGGAAACTGTCAAATACAAATTGTTTGGCCAATTTTTAATTAAGTATAATGAAACCTCAACAACAGGAATAAATTTGTAAGGAAGTAGTTTCTTTCATGTTATCAAAACATTCATATAGCTGAATTAGTCACTTTGAATACAACGAGCAATCAACAGAATGCATTATCAATTGATACATATAAAGGTGCAAACTATTAAGGGTGGGAATGCAGCTGGCAAACAAAAATCATATTTACGTACAAAAGAAACTTAGTTTACTATCATATATATATTTTCTCAATAATTATATGAGTTGCATAATCAAAGTGCCATGTCATTAGCTTCACATAAATCATCATTTTGTTTGAATCAATGACTTACTTGTAGAATACACAATACATAGTTTTGATCAAATTTACAATAAATAATTTTCCAGAGAATACAATCACAATCTGCTTTTGAACTGAATTTTTCTTTTTGAAACTTCTCAGTAGCTTTAAGCATTATGGAACACTTGAGATGATTGTAGCATAAATCATTCTGATGACATCTCAATACCTGTTACAGATTAAATGTACATCCAAACTGTGAAGGTCATTCACAAAAAAATGTCATAAATTGGTACCCATTGTGAGTGAAGGTGTTTGTGGTCAATAATTGTGATTTCATTGCCTGTTCTAATGGACCCCTATTTGATTTTAAATCATGTCTGTAAAAAAAATGCATGTTTGTTACAAGAAATAGCTGTTCAAATTCAAAACATATATAAAGATCACTGATCAAATTTCCTTTTGTATAGATTTGTCTGCATGAATAATTAGCTGGATTGTAAATAATCTGGATTGTTGATGGCAGAACTAATGACTTCTAATGGGTACTGAAGTGGAGTGTTTCACTACATCAGACAAAGATAGGATCAAAGCAAGAGCTGTTTGGAGACAGAATCATGTACAAATACAATTTAATGTCAAACACTGGTCCTTATACAGTATCCCACAGTTCTTAGATAATCTATCCACCAATTATTCCAAATAAACATATTAAAGGATAAGAATCTAGAAGCTCATACTGACTTGTAAGAATATCTATCACCACTTGAAAAGGGCTTAGCCCACCCCTGAGGGGAGTCACAAACACATGGTCAAACTAGTACAAGCTTCTATTGAACAGTCATTGTCGTATGTAACCCTTACCTAAGCAAGAAGATAAGTGTGTGTATTCAACCTTCATGGATCCAGTTTACTGGGAAGATGCCTTCTACATGCAGAACAACTGAAGAAAATTTAGAAATATTACCTGAATACATCTGAATAAGAAAATACTGTTTACTAGTTATGGAAGGGTGAACTAGTAATATCATAACAATACTAACCACTGACTTTAGAAATATTACCTGAATACATCTGAATAAGAAAATACTGTTTACTAGTTATGGAAGGGTGAACTAGTAATATCATAACAATACTAACCACTGACTTTAGAAATATAACCTGAACACATCTGAATAAAAAAATATTGTTTACTAGTTATGGAAGGGTAAACTAGTAATATCATAACAATATTCACCACTGACTTTACATTTGCCTGTATAGAACAATGAGTAATGTTCTTTAACTAATTTTGAGTTCAGTAAATTGTTTTAAATTGATGCATAGATAAACATAATTTTTCTGTTTCACTAAATTGTTTTAAACTGATGCATAGATAAACATAATTTTTCTGTTTCACTAAATTTTTTTCCATCATTCAGTTGGGGCAGTTAATAAATGCAACAAGCTATGAAGTAACAAATAAACACTATTTTCACTCAAACAGTTTTTAAAATTAAAGATAACACACAATGATTTGGTCTAATAGAGCTAAATGTAAAGTCATTCAAATAATTTGAAATATGATAATTTAATGTGGTAAAGCATCATGTAGAAGTTAAGATTTTTTATGAACAGTGATGCAGAATAAGGATTATGGTGGTGTATTAAAACAATAATGCCAAGTATCAATGTATTCCAAGTTTTATTTAAAGCATAATAAGAACAGATTAGTTATTAATTTGAGCCTAATATCATATAGTGAAAAGATGAAAATATTTCTCTAAGGATTATAAAATGATAAACAGTATTCTATATGATCATAAAACATATTTACATATCACCCATCTCTACTTTTCAGTCTAAACTTATGGCTCTGTATAAATTGCATTAAAAATAAACTTTAAAGGCTTCTTATATAATGCTACTTTTATATTTCTGTAAAATGAAAACAAAGTAGAAATGACAGAAAATAAAACAAAATAAGACTATAAATTGGTTTCAAAACAGAAAAAAACTCACCATTTAATACCAAAATTCATCAAGGGTTTCATCAAGTTTTCTGTGGAAAACCACAAAATTTGTATTTATGAAAATGATGTAATCATTAATTTGCCAATTAATTACTAAAGATAACTATTAACAAATTATATATATAATATTTATATTCAAGAATCAAATGAAGATAATTCAATTCTGATACAAATATATGATATATGAATGTAAATGTTTGGAAGTTTTTGTGTGCAAGGCTCCTTCGCTAACTACAATAATTTAATTTTGCAAGGGATAAGCATCATTTTACATATTAGAATTTTTAGTATCTTCTCATAGAAATAAATGAACAATTTTTTTCCCCTTAAACTGCCTAGGTTAATAAAATGTATGTCTTTGTTAAGTTTGTTAAATACTAAAAATATCATATTATTATCAATGTTATAAGTGTATAAAATGCCTCATTTAAAATATTTGATATCCATGGTATCAATCATTAAGCTCCAGTATTGATGTGTTTTACATCTAATCAAATGGTACCTAACACTCTTGGAAATGATGTTTGGTTTGGGCACCCCAATCAATCATGAAGCTCCAGTATTGATGTGTTTTACATCTAACCAAATGGCACCTAACATTCTTAGAAATGATGTTTGATTTGGGCACCCCAGCCCTTCTGAAATATCCACATTCAAAGACAGTATGCTGTTCAGATCTCACAAATGGTGCCTTGCACACACGGCCACACTGGATACAGGAAAATGTCAGAAAAAAAATGTGCAAAAACATTTGTCATATTCAGACAGAACTCTCATACAATCTGATAGCTTTTCAGATAACGTAACCATCATGTTCTGTTGATACTGCCAAACTGTCTTGCCAACAATAAAACATGATAAAGCATTGTGACTAATCCAATCATTAATTTTCCATATTTCCAAAAACCTAAAATAATTTATTTTTAAAATTCAGAAAACTGTCAACTTTTTGGCATCTTATACATTTTTCCACACCCCTAATCTAAAACCATGTGGAACATATTAATGTTGAAGGGGTATTTAGTTTCTTTTGACAGGAAAGTATATATATATAATGTGGAAATTCATAATTAAGAAAATGTGCTACATGCACCTACGATTTGTGACTTCTGGCTGACCACTAAGGTTCATCATTCTAGGAATAGAAGGCCCGTAAACATCTGCATCTAACAATCCCACATCTTTGTTCTGCAAATTAACAAGTTAGCTAGAATGTAAATTTAAACTAATCATGTATTGTACATTCATCAGTTACAGTATATGAACAAAATATGAAATATTCAATATAAATATTTCAACAAGTTATCAAATATCATAATGCAAGTACAAAGACAATTACACTTCATATATAAACAAGAACATTAATATTACTACAACATATTGCTTCAACATGTCTATTATTGGAAACAGCTGCTAATTGTTATGCACAGTTTGTCTGTTCGTCCACCATGGGGAATCAAACCCCAGATTACAGCATTATAAGTCTTTTAAATTACTGGTGACTCATCAGGGGACTTTTATGTACAAGAGGTTTACATGAACACGTACTAGTAGTAGTAGCCATAGCAGAGAAATCGTAAAAATTTTAATATTTATTTAAAATGTATACTTAATAAGAAAACAACTAGTAAGTCTATTGTTTCATGTTTCTCTCTTGGTTCTAATGAATTAGATTAAATTTTAATAACAAAAGTTTACTGTTATTGAGCTTTAGTGATAAATAACAGAAAATATTCTATTAGAACTGTATAAAATTATTAGTAATTTAAAAATCCTTCTTTATAACATAAATTGTGATGGATTAATGATAAACCAAATTTAATCAAATTCTACTTAATGTCTAAATAAGTACAAAATTAATGATGTTTACCTTCTGAGTCATCTTAATGGCCAGTGCTAGGTTCACTAAAACATGCATGAAAAATGAGAATTATAAATTTCTATAAAACTGTTTGGAACTCAAGTTTGTTTGTATACACAATCAAGTAAATAATAAAGCAATTTGAAATCTTATCCTTCAATAAAAGAAATTTAAAACCAATTAGTTTACCAACACAATTAATATCATACATTAGCTAGCTTTTACATTGTTATCAATAAATAAATAAAAGAGAAGTAGTCCACACAAACAATCATTTGTTAGGCTATGCAGTAGAAGATCTTCATGTGAAACTTGTTAGACACAGTACTAAAATTCCCTATAAATATCTAGGTGACCAAAAATTCTCTGGTCTAATTAAATTACAGTCCAGCATCAACATGACTCTCTGTGCCCATAATTTATGGTTTTGAGCTACACAGTTGAGAAATATAATGATTTCTTTAGTTTCATATTCCTCAATACTCAGAAGAGGGATTTAGGTTTTTTGTTTTTTTCCCAATACCAATACTCCATTCATACAAGAAATGAGATTTACAAATTTCCATGTCACAAGTATGCTTCTCAGTATTCAAACTCATTTTCTACATTCTGGCCAAAACACTCTGACTGTCAAGGTCCCTTGGAATAAGAGAAGCACTCTTAATAGTATCAGCTCTTCCCAGCATCTTAGTATCATCAATGCATTCTGAAATATAACTAACCAATAACCTATTAAAATTGTTTACACACACAATAAGCACCAAAGGTTTCAAAACAGACCCATGAGGAAGTCCATACTTCATACTTTCCCAATAATAAATAAATGCTCATTTATTATCACTCTGTCTTGAAACCATGTATTGACTTTTAAATTTTTTCAACAATTCCAAGTATTCAGCTTACTTATGTGGCACCTTATTAAAAACTCTCTAAAAATGATGACTTACACACATACATCCAATTTTATAAACCAAAAGGAACTTTTCTGAGGTCAAGACTTTTTAAAAATAAGAATTGAGGCTCCCCAAAAGTCTTTTATGTTTCTTCAAGGATTTTGAATAAATCTTTTTCAATTCAACAGCTTTATTTTACACTAATTCCTCAAGCTTCTCTAAAAATTATTCCTTCAACATAAAATTCAAGGGAAAACCCTTGAAACCAGGTCAGCTTGGAAATATCTTTTGCTCCCTAATTGGCAAAACACCAGTTTAACCATGCTCCCTACCTTCCATAATGTTTTCTTTAAAATATCTTAATGGCTAATTTTCCTTACCTATTTATGCAGTTAATGTAAGGATAAAAATCATGTAAATTTTAATGTTTTGAACCAAAGACCTTTGTAAAACCATCAGACTAAAGATTTACACTAACAATAACCGAAGAGCCAAAAGGACAAGTTAACATTAACTCTAAGTTGCCTGCACGACCTAACAACAAATGAAGTTCATGACAGAACATAAATCATTAGCAATTTGTGTTCATTCTACCTTTCACGTATTTCAGGTTTTTCAAAGCATTTTTTTTTATATGTTTGAAAGCCAATAAACCACAAATTATGCAATAAAACTTCAAAAGATGGGAGGGGGGATTAACAATGCACTATATAAACAACTGCTACATAGATTAATACCTTACTTCAATCTCAGTCAACTTAGTACAGCATGTACACAGATTAGTAGACCATAATTATATTTTTATTTTAAGATTAGTTAAATTTCAAACTGTTGATTACCAGAAATGCACTTATAAGTGGTATGAAATAATTTTATTGTTCATTTTATCATATTTTATATATTCGTTACTTAATATTAAAATGTATCTTTAAGTACATATCTCAATATATTGTTCTAATTTTTCAAATGATTTCTACATGTGGTTATAACACTTGTGTGGTTGGATATTGAAAAAAAAAAGACTACTGTAAACATGTGTTAATCCTTTGGCTGAGGTAAAGGTTAATAATAAAATCATTTGTTTAGTTTCAAGCTAGTGTAAGCATCTTAGTATGGATATGCTGTGGAGTCTAGTGTATTCAAAATGGCAAAACTAACGCTTGTGCAAGCTGTCCTGGGATGATTGACATATGTAATCTAAATATTGGGAACTGCATTAGGACCTTTGATTTGACACTAAATGTGGGTTATCAACATAATTTAGTTTCTTGTTTCTGGATAGTCTCTTGATTTGCTTTCTCTCTCTCTCTTTACCCCAGTAGTCATTGATTGAACTAACAGTCTAGCCAGTATGATAACATTACATCATGATTATGAATAAGATAGTTTTATTTGTTCACATGTTTATTAGTATTTTTCCTTTACTGTTAATGTTCAAAATTACCCTTTGCTTAACAATTCTTAACATGTACTTTTGGATAACAGTTGGAAATCAGTATACCTGTACAACAGTAAACAATATTCAAGCAATTATAGCAACCTCATCTCACTTAAACATCTGATCCACAATTAGTTACATGATTCATTATATCATAACACCATGAAAACTAAAGCAGTTATCACAGTTAACAATGGACAAAATTACTTCAAAGTTTTAATGATGCCACCATACAAACATACTGTTGGTGTGAACATGCTTTGTAGTCACTATGAGAAAAATCTATACACTAGATACAAAGCACAGTATGTTTGATACCTATGATATAGGTCCAGCTCATCTCACTTTGGTTACCTTGTATTCATGGTTACCAATGAGAAGTGGAATTCTCTGAAACTAGTATAACCCAATAACACACGTTGATCAAAGTGTAAATAGAACTGGACCTCAATTGAACTTAGACTTCAAAATTAAACAATTTTCAGAATACTAAGTTCATTTATTATATGATGCCACTGTTCTAAAGTGACAAATGCATACATTAAAGATATTGGTGTAGTTCATTTAATCAACCAACAGACAATCATTGCAAATATTGTGTTCATATAACTATCCCATCATGCAATGTCTAAGACAGTATTAATGCTAATAATAGCAATATATATCTAGAGACCTTGGGGAAAACAAACTTTATAGAGGAGAAACGTCAACTTTTTGTAAAATAATAAAGAGATGTGTTTACATTCCTGTAATTGGTTATCTGCTCCTCAATACGTCAGCATGAGCACCAGTTTATTAATAACTATTAAATACAAAGGTCATGCACCTATGAATAAGGTCATTTTTTGAAAAATAGAACTAAATGAAAACTTTTGACCGATTTTTGCTTTAAAATAATTTTCACATATAAAGGGTTAGAGATAAAGTCTATGATTTGCTATGTTAAATTTTCATTAAATGATTTTCAATATTAATTTATAAGGTACACTAAAGTCTAAAGATGATTCAGCTCATTACATATAAATAGGTTAATTTAGAAGGCTGACACTTGACTAGTATAAATTGCCATGTTTGTATATTTCAAAAGTGCTAACTTTCCCTGGAAAAAATAATTAAAAGTAGATTTTCAAGATTACAGTTTTCTCTTACATTTAAAAATTCATCAATTAAGATATAGTCAAGTCCCCATGTACAGTCATAGCTAAAGCTGTATTCTATATAATAAAAAAAAAAATCACAGATGGTGCATAGACCAGCTTTTTTTGTAATTTTCTGAATCCAAAATGTAAACAATTGTATAGGGTTTTTGTTTCACAAAACTTTGAACAGATGGTGCCATATGTAAAAAGACTCTCATTCAACACTCCCTACTGTACATTTTGCTGTATTTAAGCAAAAGACTATATTAGTTTTTATGTGATGTATGGTTTAAGATAGTTATATGTTACATACACGTGTAAATATTCCATTTAAAAGCCAAAATATTAAAATATGAACTATTAACCAAAGTATAAGAATGAAACTTTGTTTCTCCATTTAGAAAAAAACCAGTTGGCCATGGGATAATGAAAAAATGTGACATGATCAGTATCTAAATTGCATGGACACACTGGAAGATATATACGAGGTTAAACACTTTTTTTTTTCTTTTTTTTTATGAATACTCATCTGAAGTTGGAGTAATACAATAGTATGTATAAATGTTTGTACTTGTGTATGCTGAATAGAAACCAAGTTTATTCTATATGTACAAATGTTTGTACCTGTGTATGTTGAATAGAAACCAAGTATATTCTATATGTACAAATGTTTGTACCTGAGTATGCTGAATAGAAACCAAGTATATTCTATATGTACAAATGTTTGTACCTGCGTATGGTGAATAGAAACCAAGTATATTCTATATGTACAAATGTTTGTACCTGCGTATGCTGAATAGAAACCAAGTATATT